GCAGCTCCAGCAACAACAGAAGCAACGCCGACCTCCAGGGGCCTCCCGGGGGCCTTCTCGTCCTCGTCCTTCTCGTCCTCGTCCTCCTTCGTCCTCGTCGTCGTCGTCGTCGTCGTCGTCGTCGTCGTCGTCGTCGTCGTGGTCGTCGTCGTCGTCGGCGTCGTCGTCGTCGTCGTCGTCGTGGTAGTCGTCGTCGTCGTCGTCGTCGTGATCGTCGTCGTCGTTGTCGTCGTCGTCGTCGTCGTCGTCGTCGTCGCTGTCGTCGTCGTCGTCGTCGTCGTCGTCGTCGTCGTCGTCGTCGTCGTCGTCGTCGTCGTCGTCGTCGTTGCCGTCCTCATCGACGTCGCCGTCCTCATCGACGTCGACGTCCTTATGCTCTCCTCCCCTCCTATCGCCTTCCTCCTCCATCTCATGCCCTTCCTCCTGTCCAGCCTGCTGCTTGTCGTGCCAGCAGTGCCGCGTGCTGTAGCAGGCTGTTCCCAGCGGAGGCATCGGGGAAGCGGCGGGGGGGCCCTCCGATACCCGGGAGGGGGTCCTCGTGGGGCTCTGTGGGAGCCTCTGGAGCTCTGGAGAGCCTCTGGGAGCCTCTTGAAAGCTCTTGGGGGCGCCTCTGAAGCCTTCTGGGAGCCTCTGGACAGCGCCTGGGGGCCTCTTGGGAGCGCCTCCGGGGCCTTCTGGGGGCCTCTCGGGAGCGTCTTGGAGCCTTGCTGGCCGTGGGGGGGCCCAGAGGGGAGCGCTCCGAACTGGACCCTCTTGGGCGTCCCTTGGGGCCGTCTGGGGGGGTTCTTGGGCCGTCTTGGGGGCCCCGGGAGCTCGATCGGGGGCCTATGGGGCCGTCTTGGGGACTCTCTTGGAGGCCCCCCGGGCAGCATGGGCCCGATTTCGGACGCCCGCGGTGCCGTGGTGGGCGTCTTGGGGCGGGCGGGAGGAGCACCACTGGAAACGTCAAACACTTTCACGAATATCGATAGTTTTGCAGCCTCGGGGCCCTCGTGGGGGTCCCCTGGGAACTCCGTGGAAGCTCGTGGGGGCCCTCCGACCCTGTCCTGGGGCCCTCTCGGGCATGGGGAGCTTCCGGGAGACTCTCGAGGCCTTCGCGTCGGGGCCCTCGGGTCGTCCCAGGGCTGTCCGGGGCCGGGGCGGCGTCACCCCACGGCGGGGCCCCCGGGGCGCCGCCGAGGGTGGCCATCAGTCGCCCTTGTCGCAAGCGCAAATGCCCGGTATTGTAGTATAGACTAGGGCTGACCCGTGGGCTACGTCCACTCGCGGCGTGAGGGGGTGTCGCCAGGCGCATTCAACTACATTGGGCGCCAATTTATTTGGCTTGGCCTGGCCTGAGTGGCTCCATTCGGTCAAGGAGGAGAAGGAAGTCTGTCAGCCCCCCTCGCCTCTGTCGCCGCCGTCGTCGCATGGTCTGCCGGCGTCGCTGTCTCAGTGGCCGCGGCGTCGGCCGAGAGCCTCGGAGCTGCTCCCGAGGTTGCCGATGGTCTCGGGCTCCGCATGCAGGGCCTCAACCTCGGCGGTGGCCCCGCTCCCGGGGGCCGGCACCTATGGGCTGACCCGTGGACTACGCCCCCTTTGAACTGACTGACTGACTGACTATGAATCGGACCCCACGTGTCGTCACGACTTGCATGCTACTATGCTGCTGGAGCGTGCACCTGTCTACTTGACTTCTGGGTCTATCTGGAGCTGGGCCCCTCACTCGTCCCCTTTGAACAAGGAAGGAGGGGCGGGGGGGGGATTTTTTTCGGAGCTCGCATCTCCAGTGTCCCTGTGCGCCGAGGCGCTCGTGGAGCCGCGGAGAGCTTGAGGACAAAACGTAACGCCTGGGCAGTGCGTTACATCGGTCCGCGGCAGGCAGCTCGGGGCGCGCGGGACCCTTACATTGAGTCGCGTCCTCGGGCCCAAACCCCGCGTCAAATTTCGCCCTCGGGCGGTCATGCCGCGCACTGTGGCGGCCTTGGACCAAGGCCCTTGGTGGGCCTCCATGGGCCCGGGTCGGAGCCGTCGTAGGCGGCGTCGAGAGGCTCCTGGGGCGTCTTGGGGCTATCCTTGAAGGTGTCTGGGGCTGTCTGAAGCCATTCCGGGGCTCACTGCGGGCATCGTCGGCGGCCGGAGCCCAAAAAAAACTGGCGGGGGGAAATCTTTTTTATATAAAAAACTGAAGGGAAATGAATGGTTTGGGCTTCTTCGGAGTGTCGCTGAAGCCCTCGGATTTCGAGAATCGGGCGACTCGGCGCGTCCGTTTGTGCCGGAGGACAAGATTCAACGCCTGGGCAGCGTCTTAACTCTTGTCCGCGCCAGGGCCGGGGCCTCAGCGCTCGGCCCCTAGGGGCGGAGAGAGAATTCAACACGGCACGTTCGCACGAAATCTCGTCCTCGGGCGAAGAGGGCGCGTTGAATTTTGTCTTCGAGCTCACTGGAGGCGCCCTGGGGCGTTTTTCCGGGTTAGGTCCTTCTCGCACGCACGTATGCCTGCAATGTAGGCAAGACTAGGGCTGACCCGTGGACTCCGTCCACAACATCTTTCTGAAATGGTTCTCGGAGGAACGACTGAGATTTTGCCGAAAACCTATGAGCACGGCGGCGGCCAGGGCGGCGGCAGCGAGACCGCGCCTTCGTGTCCGAGCTCTTGCAGCGATCCAGCAGCTCGGCCCCAGCGCACGGCACGTTCGCACCCCTCCAGGTAGGGGCAGTTTTGAAGCATCTCGGGGATGTGCGTCAGAGTCGAAGCCCACCTGAGGCGTCTCAGGAGCGACCGGGGAAGGGCTCTGCGGCCCTCGGGGAAAGCCACGGGGAGCGCCGGGGAGGCTCGCAAGGATCTCCAGGGAGGGCCCAAGAAAGCTTCAAGGTGGCGTAGCAGTCAATACGATCTTAACAGAAACGGCTGTGGACAGATTTGGGCGTCCCCCTGTTCGGCTTCCCGACGCCTCAAGACGGCCGAAGAGGTCTCTAAGATCGCCCCAAGAGGGTCCAAGGGGGCCCTAAGAGAGCCCCAAGACGGCCCAAGAGGGCTCCAGGGCCGCCCAAGACGACTCCAAGACGGCCCAAGAAGGCCCCAATAACGCCCCAAGAGAGGCCCCAGAAGGGGAACACGAAACAACATTTCGAGCCCTCGGCCATACGCAGCCCCCAGGAGGTCCCCAGAGGTCCATAAGAGGCCCCAAGAGGCCCCCAACAGGCGGGCCTCGGAGAACTCCCAAGAGCTTCCTGTGCACTGCCTCTCGGTGCGCGAAAATGGGCGGGCGGAATGAGCGAAGCGATTCAATAAGATTTTAATAGAAACCGCTGTTGGGTCCGACGTGCTGTCTTGTTAGACTGTTGTTAAATTGGCGTCCCTCTGGGGCGCCTCTGGGGTTCCTGATTGGGTGGCCGAGAGGCTTGCAGAACGGTTCCGGGAGCCCACCTCCTCTATCGGGGGCAGTTTTGAAGTCTCTCGGGGGTGTGCGGTAAGTTAAAGTCGAAGCCCGTTTGAGGCGTCTCGGGAGTGCCCGGGGAAGGGCTCGGGAGGCCGTCGGGGAACGCCACCGGGAGCGCCGGGGAGGTTCGCAAGGATCTCCAGGGGGCACAAGAGAGCTCCAGGAGGGCATGATATTTAACAGCAGTTTAACAACAACTGCTGTTGGGTCAGACGTGCTCCGCTACGTTCGGGAGGGCGTTTTGTTGGACTTATGTTGGAAGCGAAGCTCTCTCGGGTGTGTCAGGAGCGCTGGCCGCCCTTTCTTGGAGGCAGTTTTGAAGCCTCCTTGGGCCTCTTGGGGGGTTCAGGGCATCTCAAACCCTCGTGTGGGCCTCTTCAGAGCCTTTTGGGTCCCTCTTGGGCCGTCTGGGCTCCTCCTCTTGGGCCCTCTTGTGGCCACGTTAAGAGCTCCGTACGTCATATATGGACATATGGACCCTCATGAGGCTCTCTTCTGGGCCTTCTCGAGTTTCCTCCTCCTCCTACTCCTGCTCCTCCGCGTCCGCGTCCTCCTCCTCCTCCACCTCCTCCTCCTCCTTCTCCTCCTCCTCCTCCTCCTCTTCCTCCTCCTCCTCCTCCTTCTCCGCCTTCTTGCCTCGATCCTGCATGCCCTGGATCTTGGATCGTCAATCGTAAACCCTCGAACCGTCGAACACGGCTGTTTGGGGCCTGCGTTCTGCCTCTTTCCTCTGGTCCGCCCCCCTCTGTTGGAAGGAATTCTCCAACCACTTAGGGCCTGCTGGGGGCCGTGTGGGGGCCTCTTGGGGCTTCATTTCGGCTTCGAAGAAACATTTTGGGGCCCTCGTGTGCTCTTGTCGGTGCCGCTTGGGCCGTCTCGGAACCGTCTTGGGCCGTCTTGGGCGCCTCTTGGGCCGTCTGGGGGCCTCTTGGACCGTCTTGGGGCCGTCTTGGGGCCGTCTTCGGACCGCGTTGGGCGCCTATTGGGCCGTCTTCGGGCCGTGTTGGGCCGTCTGGGGCCGTGTTTGGGGTTGTCTGGGTGCCTCTTGGGCCGTCTTAGGCACCTTTTGGGCCGTCCTGGGTCCGTCTTGGGGCCCTGATGGGGGCATCTTGAGGCGATCTTGGGGAGCTCTGTGGCCGTCGTGGACGCGTCGAGACGAAAATCACGAGGATGCCAAACATGTCCGTTTCCCGATGGGAATCGGACGATTGTTGCGTCTCGGGGCTGTCCTGGGGAATCCTGGAGGGCCGTCTTCGGAGGCTCCCGGCCTGCCCTGGCGGCCCTTGGGGCAGTCGGAGCTGCCTCTCGAGCGGCTCGGAGAGCCCCTGGGCCCGTCGGGGTGGCCTCTGGAGCGGCTCGGAGCCGTCTCGGGGTCGTCGGGCGCCCTCTTGAGGGGTTCGGATCCGTCTGTGGGCCGTCGGGGCGGCTTCTGGAGCGTCTCGGAGCCGTCGTGAGGCCGTCGGGGCGCCCTCTTCCGCGGCTCGGAGCCGCCAGATGGCACTCGGTGCAGAAACCCTTCTCGCACGCACTGCTCCCGGTATTGTAGGAGAGATGGCGTCGGGCTCCAACTTCGCCTTCCGCATCTCGCTGAGTAGCGTCAAAGCCCGCTGCCACTGCTCGCCCTTCTCGCACGCACTGATCCCAGCGTTGTAGCTGACTAGGGCAGACCTGTGGACTCCGTCCACGACATCAGCTCGACGTGGCGAGGGATCTCTGGGCAAGCGCGGGGGGGTGCGGCTGCAGGGCCGAAAGGCAATCATGATGGCGTCGGGCTCCAGCTTGGCTTTCCACATCTCGCAGTGCAGCGCCAGGCCCCTCCTCCTCCTCCTCCTCCTCCTCCTCCTCCTCTCCACCTTCTCCTCCTCTTTCGCTCGATTCTCCATGCCCTCGGTCGGCAATCGTCGATCCTACGACGACTCTCCCCAACAGAGAAACATCGAAGGCCCTCGGAGCGTCCAACATTGTTCTTTTGTGCCTTCGATATGCCGGTCGCCTCTCGTCCGTTCCCCCCCTCCTGGAAGCAATTCTGAGGCCACTTCGGGCTTCGTGGGGGCCGTTTGGGGATCTCTTGGGGCGTTTTTGCCTGCGATATGCCTGTCGCCTCTCGTCCGCTCCCCCGCTCCTGGAGGGAATTCTGAAGCCACTGAAGGCTTCGTGGGGGCCGTTTCGGAGCCTCTTCGGCCTTCTTTTGGGCCTCCCGGGGGGGCTCTTAGGGCCCTCTCGGGCCGTCTTGGGTGCCTCTTGGGCCGTCTTGGGGCCGTCTGAGGCCCGCCTCGGCGCCTCTTGGGCTGTCTTGGGCCGTCTTGGGCCGCTCCTGGGGCCGTCTTGGGTGCCTCTTGGGCCGTCTTGGGCGCCTCCTGGGCCGTCCTGGGGCCGTCCTGGGGCGTCTTGGGACCGTCTTGGGGCCCTCCTGGCCCGTCTTGGGGCTCTCTTGGGGTCCTCTTCGGCCGTCTTGGAGCGGTCTGGGAGACTTCTTGGGCCGTCTTGGAGCGTCGGGAAGCCGAAGAGGCGAGGATGCCGAAAACATCGAAAAACACAACAGAAATCGACGATTTCTGTCGCTCGGGGCCCTCTTGGGAGGCCTCTTGGGAACGCCTCTTCGGGCGTCTTGGACGCCTCTTGGGCCGTCTGGGGCGAATCTCGGGCGTCTTGGGCCCATCTTTAAATGCGTGCCGCGGGCTCTCCGGGGCCGTCTTGGGGGCTTCGGGGGGCCCTCTCGGCGTGTCCTGGAGCCTGCCTGGGCGGCCTGGGGCGGCCCGGGGCCAGCCCGGGGCGGTTTTGGTGCATTGGGGCCTGCGCCGTTCCCGCACGCACTGGGCCCTGCAATGTAGTAGAGACTATTGGTTTTGAAAACGCCTCTGAAGCCGAGAACTTTTGCCATGCGCCGGAAGCGTGGACTTTCTGGATTTTTGCCACGCGAGTTCTGGATTCTAGGTTGTTTGATGCACCTTTTCATTGTCAGTATTGTTGCCCGGAAGACTCTCTAGGTATGGGTCCTGACCCTCGTGCGTTGCACGGGATCTTTCATGTCGGCCCAGGTTCTCGACGCCGGAATGGGCGCGAGCACGACGCGGTTCGGTGGAAGCCGTCTCTGGACGCCGAAGGCCGCGACCGGGTCCACGAGAACATTGTGCAATAAAATCGTTGACTGAGTCTCTCTCGCCCCCCCTCCCCCCCTCCCTCTTTGACCTGGAGGGTCACGTTGTTGCATCAGCCATGCATCGATTCAGAGAGACGATGCTCGTCCACATGCGAAGCCATGGGGCGCACGTGAGCTACGAGAGATGCGCCTGAAACGACGAAGCACGCGCGACCCACAAAAACGGTCTAGACGGTCAGAGGTCATTGTGATGTGCGTGCTGCTTCGCAGTTGTAGAAATTTGAAGGCATCAAATATTAACCTCGGGTGCACATGTTCCCTTCGCAACAGAGCAAACGTCGTCCTATAGACAGTGATGTGTTTAAGGCTTCGCTCGAGCAAATCTTTTCCACGGACTGCGGCGCTGCCAGGGATGACTGGGCGGCGGCACGCTGCAATAGAGGCCCGTATAACATCACGCCGTTTTGCATGCAGGAGTTGCGGCAAGTGCTTAAGCATATGAAGCGCGGCAAAGGTGCAAATAAACGCGGCATCACCGTTGAAATGTTTGCATTTGGTGGTGATGCTCTGCATCGACGCCTTTCGAAATGTTTGAACTCTTTCTCAACAAGGGCCGCATCGATCCCACTTGGCAGGAAACGTATTTCATCATGCTGCCGAAGACTGGCAACAGCAAATGATATAAGAACTGGCGGCCCATAGCAATTTTACGCATCACACACAAGATCTTTGCTCGCCTAGTTTTTGCGCGATTGCAGCCCGATCTGGAAAAATAACAAACGCAAGACCAGGTAGGATTTCGACGGGGCCGCTCCGTAGACAACGCTTTTGTCGTTTTGGAGGATGTATGCTCGAAAACTTGGGAGTGGCAACTCCCACTGTGGATCGCTAGCGCTGACCTTACTAAAGCTTTCGACCGGCTTGAGCACTACGTGCTTTTCCAGGTAGTGTCGAAGCAGGGAGTTCACGCTGAGTACGTGCGGCTTTTGTCGGACATTTACAGCTCCCGTTGGGAGAGCGTCAATGGCAGCACAGCGTTTGACATTACCCGTGGCGTCAAGCAGGGGGACGTTCTCTCAGCGCTGCTCTACAACGCTGGTTTAGAGCATGCAATTCGGAAGTTCAGAGTACGCGCTCAGCAGTGCGGCTTTCATGTTGGAGGCGTCGATTTGCTCTTAGCAAAATGCGGCACGCTGATGCCATTTTAATGTATGCGCGTTCCGCCGCTGAGGTTGTTCGCATGCTGGACGTTCTTTCGGAAGAATTGTCAGCGTGCGGTCTCTCACTCAATGCAGACAAGACGCGGATATTTACGAACGACGTTGCCGCTTCCAACGTTGACGAGCCTCTCGTTTTGCAGCTTACCGGCTGCCTGCTGCCTGTCATGACGTCCCAGGTGTTCCACAAGTATTTCGGCAAACAATTCGGGGGCGACTTGCGATGCAAATCAGGATGCAATGCAAATTATCGCATGAAGTACGCATGGGGGAAATTTTACTTCCACAGAGCGGTGCTTCTGAATAAATCTATAGATTTGCGTCTCCGTTGAAGCTTTTCGACGCTGTGGTTACGCCCACCGCTGTCTATGGTCTCTCGACGACCGCCACGACAACACAGCATAGATCAACGATTGCATCAACTCGTGCAAAAATGCTCCGTCGGATAACAAGCTTCCCGGCGAGAGCTGGAAAGAAGCGGGGCGACGGTGCAAGCGAAAAGTGCGTGCTGCTATGCAAATGTTCCCTGTGTCCGACTGGCTCGTCGTGATGCACCGGTCAGCGTGGCGCCTCGTGGCACGACTCGCCACAAGCGATTCGCAAGAATGGCCCGCGCAAGTTCTACGCTGGCGCCATGCCCGCCCACGACGTCGCGGTCGGCCACGGCGTCGATGGACAGATCGTGTAGATGCGTCTCTGCAGCAGTGCGGCACGAGTCCCATTGATGTTATCCATAGCCAACAACGCTTCCCCTGGCAGCAACTGGAGAACTCATGTCTGAACCACATGTGGTATAGTTGATGTGCGATATGTTTCACCGACGTGCACTTGCCAATTATCTTGCATGCGCGCTTCATTGCTGTATTGTCTCATGTCCTCCGTCTCCACTTGCGGAGCGAGGGGCCCCCATAGGGCTTCTCGGCCGGACTTGATTTGACTTGGAGTAAATCCGCAGGTGCCCTGGCAGGGGAACTCGGCGGGGCCATCTGTGTGCCATCTTGGGTCGTCTTGGGCGCCTTGTAGACCGTCTTGAAGCTTTCCCTGAGCTTTCTTGCAGCCCTCTTGGGCCGTCTTGCAGCCTTGCAGGAGGTTTTGGGACCACTCGAAGGACCTCGGAATTGGCCCCAGGAAGGGCTCGACATGGCCCGAAGACGGCCCCAAGAGGACCCTCAGAAAGCACTCGACGGATGCTACAACAAGAGAATGCGGTGAAGCATCCGTTGGCAGGGCTCTCTGGGAGCGCTCTTGGGGCCGTCTTGGGATGCAGCTGGGGCTCTGGTGGGCCATCCCTGGGTCATCCTGGGTCGTCCTGGGCGTCTTCTGGGCCGTCTTGGGGCTCTCTGGGATCCTGTTCGGAGGAGGCCTCTTGGCCCGGCCTGGGCCGATCTTGGGAGCTCTTGGGCCGTCGTGGACGCTGCAAATGCCCCAAAAGTCGGGTATGCTCGCAATGTCAGACAACCCTAGGGAGCCCACAAAAGACGTACGCGCCCAGCTATGTACATGAACACGGCCCCTCGATCCGCGAGACTGGCCGCGTGATACGAACGATTGCGCAATGCGCACCCTCGAATCCGGCGTGGATTCATGTACATGTACGTCCTTCTTTCGCTCCTGAAGCCCTGCAGAGAACAACAGGTGTTTGCAACGCAACGCCCTGCCTGGCGTTTTCTTGGAGCGCCCTGGGAGCCTCTTGGAGGATCTTGCGGCCGCCTGGAGCCCGCCTTGGGCTGTCTTGGGCCCTCTGAGGCCTGAGGCCGTCTGGGCGCGCCATCTTGGGCCATCTCGAGGCCGCCCTCGGCCGTGTCGGAGGCACCTTCGGCGAAACTTGGAGGCTTCTTGGACCCGCTTGGGCCGCCTGGGAGGCGCAGGCCCTCCCCGCGGGCACTCCGGGCAGGCCCCCCCCCCGGGCGCTGCCATGCGCACCACGCGCTGCTCCCCGTATTGTAGGATGGATGGCGTCGGGCTCCAGCTTCGCCTCCCGCATCTCGCTGAGCAGCCCTAGCGCTTGCTGCCACTGTTCGCCCCTCTCGCACGCGCTGATCCCAGCGCTGTAGCTAACCAGGGCAGACCCGTGGACTCCGCCCACGAAATCTGCACGAACTGGCCGAAGGCCTGGCATGATGATGTTGGTGTCGAATTTCGCCTTCCGCGCATGCCACTGCGTGTTGGTTTTTGTTCGCGATGCGGCGTGGTGTCGGTAATGCTTACAGCTGCAACGTGCTGTTGCTGGTTGTGGCTACAGGGTGGTGATCGTTTTTTATTCATGGTTTTGCCGGTCGGCGCGGGCCCCCCAACCTCCCCTTCCCCCTCCCCGCCGGAGTAGATCGTGGCTGTTTTGGGCGCCTGTTTCGAGCAGGTGGAGTCTCCCCTCGTTGGACCCAGTGCTGCAAACAGTCGCACTGAGCAGAGGTCCGGAGCCAGACCCCCCCCCCTCCCCCACCATTCCGCCCAATGTCGAAACGCCGAATCGAGAAACGCCCCCGTGCTGCTGATGGCCAGCTCTGCTTCGTGCGTGCTGTGCTGGTCGCTGCCTGCTGCTGCTTCACTGCCGCCGTGGGATCCCGCCGCTGCTGCCCGCTTCGCGCTGCTGGCGCCCTGGGCCGCCCCAGGCTGCTCTCGAGCTGCCCGGAGGCCATCTAAGGGCAACGTCTGGACACTGAGAAATATAAATCGCTCGCTCGCTCGCAAGTCATACGCCGAAAAGCGCGTGGACAGATCCAGCATGCACAATACTGGGCAGCGCCCCTCGCCCAAGCACTGCAGTCCGGAGCGCTTGCCTGTGTATACCTTGGCGGTCCATGCGTTTCTAGGGCGCCCTATACGCCTCACGTACTTGTACGTGATTGGAGCAATATTCCCAAGGCATGATGTTCGACACTTCAGCACGCAGGCACTATTTTCCAACGATAATCAATGGTGGCTGCGGCCGCCCGAGGAGGTCGGAGGATGTGCGCGGCCTGCGTAGATTCGGAAGAAATTCGACGGCATTGGGGAGCATGCCCCCAATGGCCGGCATGTCTTGAGCACTGCCAGGGAGAACTCCTCGACGAGTCGCCCATTCATCTTGGAGCAGATCAACGAAAAACGAAGCGCATGGGTGCCATATGTTCCTGGGTGGCCAGCGCGGTCCCAGAGCACCCTGAGGGATCTTTCCTCGGAAGCCTCTTGCAGGCGGTTTGGGAGATTGTCTCGGGGCCTCTCGGGGGCATCCAGGGACCTGACTTGGGACTCCTGGAGTTTGTCGGAGGCCTATTGGGGGCCTGCCAGCGGTTTCTGGGATCATCCTGGAGCGGAATGCGCGAATTTTCAGTCCGAGCTTCCCATCTTGGGGCACTCTTAGGGCCCTCTTGGGCCGTCTTGAAAGCCTATTGGACCGTCTTGGGGCCCTCCTGCGCCATCTGGGAAACCTCCTGGGATCTTGGGCTGTTTTGGAGCGATCTTGAGGGGCTCTTGGGCCCTGGCCGTCTTGCAACGGCGGGGATCCGAAAAGGCGAGAGCGCTGAAACCCTTCAAAAACCGGGGGAATCACAGATGTCAGCTTCTCGGGGCCCCTCTTGGGGGGTCTTTGGATTCCTCTTGGGCCGCCTTGCGGCCCTGTCGGGCTGCCTGAACGCCGTATTGGCGACCCCTCGGACCGTGCGGAGGCGTCTCGTCGGCGACTCCCAAGGGTGTGGTTTGCAAAGGGTATGGTTTGCAACCGGCACCCTGGGGAACATCCTGGGGGGCACCCTCGGGGGCGCGCGGGGACCTCCATAGAGTTCTCCCGCGCCCCAAGGAGGCCCGACGAAGACAGTGTCGTGCCCCCAGCTCCCATCGGTGCCGATCGCAAACCAGACCCTGGCGCACCCGTACCCTTTGTAGTCGCCGATCTCGGGCCGTATTGGACCATCTCGGGGCCGTCTTGGGCCGCCTTGGCTAGCCCTGGCGCGTTCCAGCCCTCCCGCTCCCCGGCCAGGGGGCACCTGTAAGCTTTCTGAAGAATGGTCCTTCTGGCGCGCGGTGCCCCTGGACTCGTAGGGCAGACCACGTGTGGACCCGTGGCGTATCCACGGCAGGCAGGTCTAGGCGTTGGCCCCGAGCGCGCACATGCCGCCGACGCAACCAGAAGAAGGACAGGGAGACAGGCACCAGAAAGAGGGGGGGAAGCTTTGATCGGAGGGGAGCACTGCCGTCCGTAATACAGTCGGGCCGCTGAAAGAAGGAACGCTAAATAAGGAACGAAGCCCCTTTTTGGCCCTGTAAGCGCCTCCGTACCCCAGGAGGGCAAGAGGAACAGCACTGGAGGAACCTAAGGAACATCGAGTCCCTTCCAAACACAAACAGGCACCACTGGCCATCGCTTGGACGTCCACTCCCTATGCTTTTTTTCGGTATCGTGCGTGATTATTTCGTGGGGTGATCCAGGATGCTCCTTAATAATCCCCGCCGAGGAAAGGTGCACACGTCCGAGCTATACCAAGACCAGAAAGTGGGGGGTGTAAGCTTTGATCGGAGGGGAGCACTGCCGTCCGTAAGAGGCCAAACCGTGACTGCACGAGGACACTGGTCCAGGATACCCTGCGAGCTCATCGTCGTGCAGGTTCTATATGTGCGACCCAAGGAGAGGCGGCGAAGGCATTCCACGCGGTGGGTGTCGTGCCCTTACACGATTTCAGCAAGCCCACGCAGACTAGAGCTGAACGTGCTGGCCAACCAGTTAGTGGTAGGACCTCCCGAAACACAATCTGGATATATACGAAATTCCACAGAAAACATGACTTTCGTATCGCCAAATACAGAGCCAAGCGAGACGGACGAGGGGAGCAGACAGCGCCGAACACGTTCAAGCATGTCACGAGTTTCATGCTCTCTCCAATCTGGGACAATATGATAAGGCCCTCGCATCGATTGTGCCTGACGCGCGAAAGCTGTGACAACAACGACTTCGGAAAAAAATATCATAGTGCGACCAGTATCATAGTGCGACCAGCAGAAATAGACCCACAGAACGTGCTAGGTACTTCGTGCGATTCAAAATCACGATGAACCTGTTCCAAATTTCTGGAAGTACTGTGAGTCTGTTGCAGCCCCACTATCTCATGATGAAACAGAAGACTGCGAAGATGGCAATATTTGTCATGGAGGGTGCGCTGATCCGTGAAGGCCGAACTTAAGATGGTTTTGGTAGTCCGAGTGGTAACGATCAACGTGCCAGGTGTGCTGTATGGGCACGTGGGGGAGGGTGGAGCGTGGCCCAAAGGGCGGTCGAGATGCACACGCAACCTACCGTGACGGCGGGCCGTGACGGGCGACAGGGGCGCGTCGCCCGTTACGCGGTCCGTTTGTCGCCTGTACGGCCAGATGGGGGGAGGGGGGGCAGAACAAGAGTTGGTTGCCATCAGTGCTAGAACTGCGATCAAGACTATCAGGAGGAGGAGGAGGAGGAGGAGGAGGAGGAGGAGCAGGAGCAGGAGGAGGAGGAGCGGGAGGAGGAGGCGGAGGAGGACAAAGAGGAATAGGAAGAGAAAAGAAAAGAGGTTGAACAAGGAGCGGGCCGCCATTCTAGGGCGTTATCTGGGGTTCCGGATTCTCCTTGGGATTTAGAGTGATCCAGAAGCGGGAAAAGACGACAAGGCTTGAGGCTCTCATGGGGGCCCTTTGGCAGCTGTCGGAATCTCTTTTCGGGGGCTGCGGGGCATGTAGGAGTGGCCTGGAGCCTTTGAAGGGTCTGGGACTTTCTTTGGGGCTTCTGAGAATCCAGAAACGGCGAAATTCGCGGGAGTTGGAAAGTATCGGAGGAGTGGGAGCTCCTTGGTAACTGTAGGAGTCTGTTGAAAGACCGTGGAGCATCTCGGAGTGGTCTTTCTTGAACAACTCTTGGGGCCCTCGCGGGCCGTTTTTGGATCTCTTGGGTCGTCCGAGAATCCGGAAACGGCGGAAGGTAGTGGGCTGACATGCTCCCTTGGGAAATTGGCAACAGTCGGCATGTGTTGGGAGGCTCTAGAGCACCTCGAAGAAATCCTTTTGAAGAGCTCTGAGCACCTCGGAGTAGGCCTTCTTAAACAGCTCTTGGAGGCCCCCTCGGGCCATTATGGGGCCCTCGTGGGCAATTTCGGGGTCCTCTAATGCAGTCTCGGGACCTCTTGGGCCGTCTTGGGGCCATGGTGAGGGTCGGGAGCTGTCTGGGAGCCCAGTTTGGGCCCTCTTGGGCAGCTCCTGGGGCCCTCTTGGGGCCGTCTTGGGAGGCCACTTGAAGCTCTGTTAGGATCTCAGGGGCCTGTTCTGGGCCGTCTTGGGGCCCTCTTGGGCCGTCTTGGTGCGCTCGTCGGGGCCTCTTGGGCTATTTTTTTCTCGCAGCCGCCTCTCGGGCCATTTTTAGGGCGACCTTGAAGGACCTGGAGCCGCGTGGGACAGGTCGGGGCCGGTCACGTGGAGTCTGTGCAAAACCTTTGGAGCACGCACGCACGCGCTCTTTTCGCATGTTTTTTGGCCTCGTGAGGCCGTCTTCGGGGTCCTCGTGGGCTGCATGTGGGGCCTCCTGGCCAGTCTTGGGGCCCTCTTGGGCCGCCTTGGGCCTCGCTGAGGGTCCCCCTGGAGCGTCCTGCCGCCTCTTGAAATGTCAGAGCTGTCCTGTGGCCGTATGAGGCTGACGGTGGGGCCATCGGGGGACCCGCTGGAGCCGGCGTCGAGCGCCTGCAGGCGAGCGAGTATCTTGCGCTGCTCGCCGCTTTCGGGCATACTTCGCCTAGAAGTGCAACTTGTAGCACCCCGCAGTTCTGGGTCGCGCGTGGGCCGCGGGTGGGTCGCGGGCGGGTCGCGCTGTGTGTCGCGGGTGGGTCGCGGGCGGGTCGCGGGCGGGTCGCAGGGTTGCCCCTGGGGAAGGTCGCGAGTGGGTCGCGGGTGGGTCGCGGGGTGGGTTGCGGGATGGGTCGCGGGTGGGTCGCGGGGTGGGTCGCGGGGTGGGTCGCGGGTGGGTGTACAACAGATGCTGGGGCTGGAGGCTCTCTTAGGAGCCCCTTGGCAACTGTCGGAGTCTATTGGGGGGCTCTAGAGCACCTCGGAGTAGTCCTGCTTGAAGAGCTATTGGATCCCTCTTGGGCCATTCTGGTGCCTTCTTAAGCCATCTGGGGGTTCTCTTGGGCCGACCTGACTTGAAGCTCTGTTAGGCCGTATGGGAACTGTCTCGGGCCGGCTTGGGGCCTTCTTGAGTCGTCTTGGTGCGCTCGTCACTGCCTCTTAAGCCATCTTTGGGCGATCGCATAATGGCCTGAAGCCGCGTGTG